GTTCCATAAGAAACCTGTCCATAGACCAAGAAGCTATCATTCAACCAGAACAAGGGGATACTGAATGGTTTAAAATCAGGAAAGGTGTGTGTCAGGGTTGTATCCTCTCACTATACTTATTTTACCTGTATGCTGAGCAAATCATCAGACTATATGAAGAAGAACGCAGGGGCATCAGTAGAGAAGAACCATTAACAACCTGTGATATGCAGGTGACACAACCTTCCTTGCTGGAAGTGAAGAGGACTTGAAGCACTTACTGATGAAGATGCAAGACTACAGTCTGCAGTACGGAGTACACCTCAACATAGAGAAAATGAAAATCCTCACCACTGGACCAATAAGCAGCATCACGATACATGGAGAGAAGATTGAAGTTGTCAGGGATTTCATTTTACTTATATCCACAAGCAATGCCCACCGAAGAAGCAGTCAAGAAGTCAGACATACTGCACTGGGCAGACACAATGCAAAAGACCTCTTTCAAGTGCTGAAGAGCAAAGATGTCTCTTTGAAGACTAAAGTGCACCTGACCCAAGCCATTGTATTTTCAATCGCCTCATATGCATATGAAAGCTAGACAATGAATAAGGAAGACTGAAGAAGAGTTGATGCTTTTGAGTTGTGGTGTTGGCAAAGAATACTGAAAGTCCCATGGACCGCTAGAAGAACTAACAAATCCATCCTGGAAGAAATGCAGCCGGAATGCTCCTTAGAAGAGAGAATGGCCAGACTTCATCTCAGGACTTTGGTCATGTCAGAAGGGACCAGTCCCTGCAGAAGGGTGTCATGCTTGGTAAAGTGGAGGGTCAGCAAAAAAGGGGAAGACCCTCAACAAGATGGACTGACACAGCGGCTGCAAAAACGGACTCAGGCAAAGCCGGGATTGTGAGGCCGGTACAGGACTGGGCAGGGCTTTGTTCTGTTGTATGTGGGGTTGCTACGAGTTGGAGCCAACTCGACAGCAAGCAAGGTTGGCAGTGGAGAGGGCGGGGAGACCACTGGATCGGGCCTTCGGAAGTGGCTTGGGTCATAGGTGAGACGTTCCTCTGGATGTCATGTTCAGAGTGAGGGCATTTTGTCACGGCTCAAGCACGGATGGAGCAGAAGAGCGAATGGAGTACGAACATGAGCTCCCCTCCTCTCCCTCTCTGTCCCCCTCTGCTCCCCTCCCTTCCCTTCCCTTCCCTTCCCTTCCTCAGCTGAGGTCCATCCATGGCCAGGCTCTGAGCCCAGGACTGAGTCTAAAGTCAGTGAGCATCTGCGATGACCCAGAGGCATCCAGATTGCAAAGCCTGGTGGTCAGTGATATCCTTCCGAGGTCGGGACCCTGATTTACTTGGCAGTGGGTGTTATGATGAAGTCAGCTGGCATGGTCTAAAGGCAGAACCAGACGTCAGTACTGGGCTGCAAACCGAAAGGCTGAGGCTCGCATCCACCCAGAGGCACACGGAAGAAACAGCCCTGGGGATGTGGTCCGGAAAGGTCACAGCCACACAAACCCTGCGGAGGGCAGTCCTACTTCGCACACGCGGGGGGCTCCGTGAGGTGGAACCAACTCGACAACTCGTTTAAATAAGACGCCCTAATTCCAGAGATGTGAAAATGTGAAAAACAAAAACAAAAAAAATGCATCTTCAAATCTGTGAAATCTGGTCAGCTAAAGAAAATGCCACTCAGTGGGCACCCACATCTGGATCTGTGCCCCAAGAGCTCCACGCAAAGCACCCAAGTGTCTTCTCTCTGCTCCTGCAAACCAGCATGGGGGCCCTGGCCTCAGTCACCCAGATAAACAGAAGAATTTCCAATCCTCCTCCAAATTAAAAGTCTGTTTCAGGGAGGACCATAGGACCTTGCAGGGCCAACGCAGGAATCGGGTCGACTCCCGGCCTGTGTGCAACATTTCCCATCTCTGCGCTGTGGGGAGACACCTCGTGTGACAAGTGTGCGGGCAGCCACAAGTTTAATGAACCTTAATTATTCTGTTTATACAAACAGCAGGCTGGAGCTGTTGACATAGCCGGAGCTTTTAGTGGCTCCGCGCGTCAGAGAGAGAGACAACATATGCATAGCCAGCTGCTTAGAAATAATTAGCTTTGGGGCAGAATTTTTTCTTTCCTTTGGATGAAAAATAATATATGGGAGGGTTTTAAGTTGGCAGGGCCATGGCTTTGGAAGACAGAACCTTTTTTTCCGTGTCAGTCCTGCGGACACAGGAATGTGTGTGCGTGCGCTCACCCCCACACACTCATGCACATGGTTCAGGGAAAGCAACAACACGAGTCCAGACCAAGGGGAGGGCTGACTCCACACCCCCAGAAGTATCACTGCTCCCCCTGCTCTGACAAAGAAGCAGGGCAGTGCCTGTAGGACTCTCCTGGGTCCACTGACATGCAACTGGGACCTTCCCGGTGCCAGTCAGTGCAACAGGAACCTTGCCTATCATCTGCTGAGCCCCGTTTAATTCACTCGGAGATGGAGGCTGAGTGACTTGCCAAGAAAGCACACACACTAGCCACAGAGGCTGAATTTGAAGCAACAGCTGCTAGCAATGATTCTCAAAGTGGGGGCCCCGGACGGGCCGCCCCAGGAACACCTCGGTACACATTAGAGAGGCAGAGTCTCCATTCTCATCCAGACTCCTGGGGCAGAAACTCTGGGGCCGGCAAGCAGTCCGTCTCCAGGTGATTGAGATGCATGCCTGAGTTGAGAGACACTCTGGCCCCCGACTCCAATAAGGGGAAGAGGTTCCAGGTGTGCTGGCGTTGGTGCCGTCAGACCACAGGGCAGCCAGGGCTGGGGCAGCCGGGCCAGGGAGCGTGGGCAGTCTAGACCCTTTGCTGGGTGTGCTCAAAGGATGGTGCCACGTAATGCGGCAAGGTCAGAAAGCACAGAGTGCAAACCCCCAGGGCAAGGCCGTCCTGGCAGGGGTCCTTCAGCAGCCACTTCTTACACCCCTGCGTCTCAGCCACACCGAATGCTCTCAGGTCCTCAGTGGGTGGCACCAGATGGTGCCCCGCCATACCTCTGCACAAGCTCGCCTCTCACTTGGGGTGCCGTCTCCAGCCTCCCCAACCCACCCATGTGCCAGTGAAGCTCAGGGGCCTCCCCGTGAAGTCCTCCCTCAGTTGAGTAGCTCGGAACCTGAGCTGAGCACTGGCCCCTGCTTGGTGGCCACCTCCACCCCCAGCCCAGCTGAGTCCTGCACTGGTCCCATTCTGTGCCTGTGAGGTCCCCGGGAGCCCATGGGTCCCTCATTCACCTCTTCTATCTACAACCCCACCCCATCAAGCCCCCAGAGCCCCCAGAGAACTCAGCAAGGCAAGTGCTCAACCCCAGGGGCTGCCCCGTGGGCTGTGTGTGCCTCGTGGGCTGTGTGTGCCTTGTGGGCTGTGTGTGCCCCGTGGGCTGTGTGTGCATTGTGTGTGCCTCGTGGGCTGTGTGTGCATCATGTGCTGTGCGTGCCGTGTGCTGTGTTGTGTGTGCGTCACGTGCTGTATGCGCCGTGGCTGTGCATGTACCATGTGCTGTGCGTGCCTCATGTGCTGTGTGCACCATGCACTGTGTGCCATGTGTGCTGTGTGTGCCCCACGTGCTATGTGCCCTGTGTGCTGTACCCATGTGCTATATGCGCCGTGTCCCGTGCGCCCCGTGTGCTGTGTGTGCGCTGTGCTGTGTGCGCTGTGTGTTGTTCAAGGTCTCAGCCTCCAGGGTGGGTCTCCCAAGCTGCATGCCCTCATAAGGCTCTATGTCCAGGAAAGCCAGTTCTCAGGGTCCTCACACTTAACATGGGGCTAGTGACAGTGCCTCTGGGGTGTCAGGCAGGCTGGACGACACGCTTCACCCTGATCTAGCAGGTCCTGACACACCGTGTAGGGCCAATACCTAGCCTTTATCTACCCTTGCTCTCTTGTCCCCCATGGAGCCCTGCATGTCACTAAGACGACCACACAGTCCAGGCCTCCTGGGGTAACCCTGGCTCACACCTGTTGTCCTGCTGTCTCTGTTGATAACATCCTTGTCCACTCCCTGAAGTGTCCTGGTTTGGGATGATAAAGACAGGGGCCTCCTCTATCACCTGCCACCTGCCTGTGGGTTGGCTGCACTGTGGTGACTCACATGTTACGATGCTGGAAGCCCTGCTGCTGGGGTCTCGAGTACCAGCAGGTCACCTGTGATGGGCAGGTTTCAGTGGAGCGCCAACCAAAACAGACCAGGAAGAAAGGCCTGGCAATTGAGTTAGCTAATGAGCACGCCAGAACGACGTCCTACTTGCTTGCTTTGGATGTCATCGGAAAGGATCAGTTGCTGCAGGAGGATATCATGTTTGGTGAAGGAGAGGGCCAGCAAGGGCAAGGAGACCCACGGTGAGGTGGATTAGCACCATAGTTACAACGAGGGACCATGCTGGTGACTGTAAGGAGGACAAAGGACCAGGCCACATCCTATCCTGTTGTACACAAGGCTGCCATGGCTCAGAGCCAACTGGACAGCAGCTGTACATCCACCCACCCATCCATCCATTCATCCACCTATCCATCCATCTGTCCATCCATCCGTCCATCCACCCATCCATCTACCCACCTACCCACCCATCTATCCATCTATCCACCCATTCATCCATCCATCCATCTGTCCATCCATCCATCCATCCATCAACCCACCTACCCACCCACCCATCCATCCATCCACCTATCCATCCATCCACCCACCCACCCATCCATCCACCCACACACCCACCCACCCATCCATCCACCTCTATCATGTACCTGTCACCATTGCGCATGCTCTGCACATCCCTGCCTGGCTTCCCATCCCCCTGAGCCTGAGACTTTCTGAGAGCAAGGAGCCCTGGCCCAGCAAAGTGCGGCCCAGAGCTGATTCCCCATAAACACTCCTCAGACTTCGTGGAACCTTCCAAAGAGCCCCAGAGTCACAGGCCCACCACCCCGCCAGGCACCCGCCCTCTCGCCACACGGAGCAGATGGCAGACAGCGCACCTTTCGGAATCCAGCCAGTTCCCCGGGAGGACTCAGCGTCTGTTATTGCAAGGAAGGAGAGGAAAAGGAAAAAAAAGAAGTTGAGTGAGTGAAACTGAAATCCCAGCAGAGCCTGTAATGGAATATTCATTTTGTCAGGGGAGTGTTTCTCTAAAACTTCTGGTCATCTGGACAGGCTGAGCCAGCAGGTGATTCGATTTAATGAGCTTTTTAACACACTTTGGGCCCAGGTGGGATTCTGTCTGGGAAGGCCCCCCTCCCAGGCAGCGGGGCGCTGCGGGCCTGGCTGGGGCTGCACTGACATCTAGTGGGCAGTGTGGCTATTACAGGGCCAGGAGCGCCTGGAGCCCGAAGCTGGACTCTGGGGCCTGCAGCACTGAGAGGGCCCTGGGAGGAGGCCACCTCATGCACCCCTTCCTTAGACTTACAAACCACAACCTTCGTGCCTCAGTTTCCTCTTCAGCTTATAGGGAACAGTAACAGTATCTCCCTTATAGGGTTCTTAGCAGCTCTGGTGGTGTAGTGCCAAGGCACTTGACTGGGGCCTGCAGCACTGAGAGGGCCCTGGGAGGAGGCCACCTCATGCACCCCTTCCTTAGACTTACAAACCACAACCTCCGTGCCTCAGTTTCCTCTTCAGCTGTTAGGGAACAGTAACAGTATCTCCCTTATAGGGTTCTTAGCAGCTCTGGTGGTGTAGTGCCAAGGCACTTGACTGCTAACCAGAAGGCTGGCAGTTCAAACCTACCAGCCACTCCTTGGAAGGAAGATTGGGCAATCTACTTCCATAGAGATACTGTCTCAGAAACCCAAGGAGGGGCCTCACGAGTGGAATTGACTCAACAGCATTGAGTTATTGTTTTTTTTTTTTTTTTAGAAAGACTCAGCACCTTATAAAACCTTCATAAATTCTGTCATCTATTATTATTATTTTGTATAAGGAGACACTGAGGCCCAGAAGGAGAAGGGCTTGTCCAAAGCCACAAAGAAAATTCATGGCAGAGTGGGTGGGACTAGAGCCCAGCTCTCCTGACTCCCAGTCCTCTCCATGGAGGACTCCCCCACAGCAGGCCTGCAACACCCCAAACCAAACCCACTGCCAACTCCCAGTGACCTCGTAGGACAGAGTACAACTGCCCCATAGGGTTTCCAGAGGTGTGATTCTTCATGGCAGCAGACTGCCCCATATTTTGCCACAGGATCAGCTTGTTGGGTTTGAATTGCCCACCTTTTGGTTGGCAGCCAAGAGCTTTAACCACTGTGCCACCAGGATTCCTCTTACAACACAAGGTTGGTATTTTATTGCCAGCTCTTGAGGTACTTGGGATTCAAATGGTTAGTACCAAGTACTAACTGTGTGACTCGGACCAAGTCATTTAACTTCTCGAAGTCTCAACTTCCCCCTCTCGGGCTGGAGACACTTTGGCAGAAGGTACCAGAAGGACTGAGCTGGGATAATGTACAAAAGAGCTCAGACTTGTAGGCACAGGTCCTGTTAAGCATTATTAACCTGGATGATTACGGTAGCTGTTACTGGGCTCCAACTTCATGGGGGGTCTGAATCCAAACAAAACTCACTGCTGTTGAGTCAATTCTGACTACGGTGACCCCATGCGTTTCAGAGTAGAACCCCTTTTCTCACTTGTTGTCATTGTTGTTATGTCACTTGTAATCTTTATGAAAACAGACCATCAAGCTTCTCTTTGGCAGTGCCACTGGATGGGTTCGAACCACGAACCTTTAGGTTGTTGTTGTTGTTATGTGCCGTCGAGTCAGACCCAACTCATAGTGACCCCTGCTTGGGTTTCTGAGGCAGTATCACTACGGAAGTAGATTGCCCCATCTTCCTTCCGAGGAGTGGCTGGTGGGTTTGAACTGCCAGCCTTCTGGTTAGCAGTCAAGTGCCTTAGCCATTATGCTTCCAGACCTCCTACTTTTAGGTTAGTATAGTGCAAACCATTTGCACCTTCCTGGGATCTCAGGCTAAGATGGCTAAATGACATCACACAAGCCAAAGGCCTCAGACCCACGAGTGGTCACCTCAGTCTGGTCCATGCAGACACAGGGAAAGTGGAGTGTGGGCTAAGCTCTGTCTCCCCAGATGAGCTTTGACCCAACCATGATGCCTTCCCCAGGGAGCTGGGACGTGGCCACTCTTAGCACCTACCAGCAGGTGGCTGGAGTCCTTGAGTTTGGACTTGTACAGCATCCACCGGTAGCGCAGGTCCTCCAACTCATCGGAGGTCCCTCTTGCTGGTCTGAGACAAAGGAGGCTTTCAAAGAGATGCTGTCCTTCTGGTACCCGAGCCTCCAATTCCTGGGGAAGAGGCAGAACCATGGTACACCTTCCAAACAGCCCAGAAGGACCAATAAAATTTCACCCAAGAGAGAGGTATGCTGGGAGGAGCAGCCAAAGCCATCACAGTAAGATTTCCATCCATTCAATTCAAGCCAAGGCTGGCCACCTCCTCTCTGGAATGGTACAGGGTGACTCCTGCACAGAAGTGACCTCCATGGTCACTTCCAACTCTGATATCCTGGGACCAATTTCTCCAAGAGCTGACATAAAAGTCCTTTGCTTCCTTAGTCCCTGCCTGTGGGAGGTGAACAAGCCTGGGCTGTCCAGACATTCTCATCACCAACAGCCAGCCAGTCACCAGAAGTGGGGCCACCAGCTGACAGACAACCAACAGCAGACACACAGGGGAGCTAAGAAGTCCTGTCCAGGTGAGGTCAACCCAAATCATCATCCTTCAGAATCATAAATGGTTGTTGTTTAAACTCTTTTAAGACCAAATTATTTTCTGCTTTGAATTTCTTCTTGAAACCATGTGTTTTCAGTAATGCAAGGCATTTTGAATGAAATGGAAACAAAAATTGAGGTAATAAGGATTTTGATACAATTAGTGGGACACATATATCCCAAAGGATCTCCTGTACTGAGATTGGTGGGATGAGACCAATTTCTTCAGATTCATGAGTTATACAGGACCCCAGCATGCATTAACTGTGGGACAGGAGCTTCCCACTAAACCCCAGAGGTGGAAAATATAGGTGGACACTGTATGTCACAAAAGGGTTAATTCACAGTGTTGGGTTGGTTTGTTACACAGCCACAACTAACCGACCTAGAAACAAAGTGATTAGTGGTGATATTTTCCAAGTTGGGGAATATAGAAATAGGCCGAGTGAATGAATGAATGAGTGAGTGCCAGGAAAAGTTCTCTTAAAATATTTGAACCTCCAAAGCTTAAAACCGTTATTTACATACATAAGAGACCAGCTTTCGAGCTAGGAATGTGTTCTTATCTGGAGGAAGGTCCTGGTGGCGAACACAGCTACAGGGCAGACCCCCGGGCAAGGGGCCTTTCCTTGGGAACAAACCTGCAGCTTCGTGTCCCTGGCCCTCACGTCCTTGGCCGTGGCAGTCTTCGTGGCGATGATTCTAACCAACTTGGAATTTTCCACCTGCAGCCACTGCTCAAAGTCCCTCAGGAGTTGGGAGAAATCGTCATGGCTCCCTGCGTCTTCCTGGGCTGGATTTCCCTGCAGAGACGGTGGAAGGAGCCCATTGGCCACGTGGGTTGGGGGTCCCCTGAAGCCGGGGCCAGGATGGCAGCAGGCTGCCCAGAAGGTGGAGGGAGAGTCCTGGCAGGTGAGGTATGTGTCTCTGCAGCACAGGGCCCACGGTGCTCCTCACCTCACCCTGGGGCCCTGTGGAAGCCACCATCATCCCTCACCAGGATTCCTATACCAGGGGCCACCTTCGGCCACTTTCATCCCCCTCCAGGCTTCCGTGGCCAGGATGGTCTGTCTAAATTTCAAGTCTACCCTGCAACTCTGGCGTTTAGGCATCTTTCAACTGAACCCAACCCTGGGGATCAACTTTCAGGCAAACGACAGGACTTTATAGTGAGTAAAAACAGCCAGGAGGAATGTGTCCCTCAGAGCAACAACCACAGGAGACCGAAGGGCAGCACTGGCCCCAAAAGAAAGTGCAGAAGAACAGGAAGGGGCAGGAAAGACATGGAAACAGGGAACCCAGGGAGGAAGTGGGGAGAGTGCTGTTACGCTGAGGCACTGCAACTAATGTCATGAAACAAAATATCTATCAACTGTTGAATGGGGAACTAAGGTGCTCTGGAAACTTCCACCCAAACGACAATTTAAAAAATTTAATTAATCAAAATAATGAAATGCACGTCCACTCAGCTAAGCTTCCCTTTGCACCTGCTGGCTTCCCACACCTCCCTGAAGGCGCCTGAGAGCTTAGGCACCAGCTTAGCAGGCCTCAGCAGCTGAGCCGCCAGCACCAGCCGCAGGCACACTTCCTGGGCCCGGCGGGTGTTCTCTCTGCCCCAGGCCCTTTGCACGCCATGTGTCCTCTGCATAGCAGCTGCCTCCATCCACTCAAGTTCCTCTCTCCCAGCCTGCAGATTCGGCTGAAGTTCTTTCTTGGAGGGCTGCCCCACGGGCACTGGGTCCCAGTCACTCTGCCACAGGCTCCCACAGCATCTGGCCCTCCTGCCAACACTCCCACATGTCTCTGCAAACCCCTGTTCAATTTCCTGTCCTCACTCCCTTGCTCCTCAAAGTGCTGTGAGGCCCAGCAGTGTGGGCATCGCCTGGGAGCAGGGCAGGAATGCAGACCCTCGGCGCCCCCAACGCTCCGGAGTCAGAATTGGTGTGTTAACAAGACCGTGGTGCACACCGGAGTCTGCAAAGCTCAGTGCCAGGGTCTAAGTACCAGGAGGGCCGCAGGGGTCTCTGACGTCTTCACAGCTGTGTCCTAGCTCCGAGCACAGTGCTCAAAACACAGTACCAAAGCCAGCGACTAGGGTGGTGTCGACTCATGGCCAGCCTGGGGGTCAGAGCGGACCTGGGTCCACAGGGCTTTCAGGACGACTTTGACTCATGGCAGCCTGGGGGTCAGAGTGGATCTATGCTCCAGTAACCAGGGCGACATCGACTCATGGCCGCCAGGGGGTCAGAGTGGACCTGCGTCCACGGGGCTTTCAGGGCCACATTTCTTGGAAGTAGATCACCAGGCCTTTCTTCCAAGGCACTCCTGGGTAGACTCCAATCGCCAACCTGTCAGTTATCAACTGAGCGGGTTAACCATTCGCCCCCTGGGACTCCCGGACACAGTGACAACACTCAATGAAAGTTTCTGGATGCCTGCATCAAAGTCTGAGTGTGAGAACTGGTTACCATGCTGTCTCTGGAGAGCAAAGAATGACCTCATGTTCAATGTTGTTATTGTTGTTACGTGCTGTCGAGTCGG